TGGAAGGGGACATGTAAGGGGACATGGAAGGGGGACATGGAAGGGGACATGGAAGGGAACATGTAAGGAGACATGGAAGGGGACATGTAAGGGGTCATGGAAGGGGACATGTAAGGGGCCATGGAAGGGGGACATGGAAGGGGACATGGAAGGGAACATGTAAGGAGACATGGAAGGGGACATGTAAGGGGACATGGAAGGGGACATGGAAGGGGACATGTAAGGGGTCATGTAAGGGGACATGGAAGGAGACATGTAAGGGGACATGGAAGGGGACATGTAAGGGGTCATGGAAGGGGCCATGTAAGGGGACATGGAAGGGGACATGAAAGGGGACATGTAAGGGGACATGGAAGGGGACATGTAAGAGGTCATGTAAGGGGACATGGAAGGAGACATGTAAGGGGTCATGGAAGGGGACATGTAAGGGGACATGGAAGGGGACATGGAAGAGACAAAAATTGATCTGCTGCCCCAATTGCAGCCCCCGAATATTTTCCCTGTATTTTATATCCACTTATTTCTGTTTGTTCTCTTTCCGGCGGTGTCTCCCCTGACATCCTTCCTCGTATGTCTGTAACATTAACTAGCTGAGATTCTCTAGTGTAGAATGTATCAGTTGTGATGTTCAGTCTCCACAGTTTCTGTTTCATTCAAACCTGGCCCCCCTGAATATTTTCCCTGTATTTAATATCTACTTTATTATCCCACGCTTTCACCGAAACGGGGGATACTAATTTGGGTTTGTCTGTCTGTCTGTCCGTTACGCTTCGTTTCCGTGCAATAACTACAACAAATGTTAACCGATTCAAGTTCGATGACCACTTTCAGCGGACCCCATTTGCCAGAGTTATGGCCCCTTGAATAATGAAAAACGTCATTATCTGCCGCGCTTCGTTTCCGTGCAATAACTACAACAAATACTTACCGATTTTCTTCAAACCTGGCAACAGGGTTAAATACCGTAAGGGCTCGGCCAAGTTTGATGACCATTTTCAGCGGACCCCATTTGGCGGAGTTATGGCCCCTTGAATAACGAAAAACGACATTATCTGCCGCGCTTCGTTTCCGTGCAATAACTACAACAAATGTTAACCAATTTTCTTCAACCTTGGTCACAGGGTTGAATGTCTTCAGGGCTCGACCAAGTTTGATGACCAGTTTCAGCGGACCCCATTTGGCGGAGTTATGGCCCCTTGAATAACGAAAAACGACATTATCTGCCGCGCTTTGTTTCCGTGCAATAACTATAATGTATAACAAATGTTAACCGATTTTCTTCAAACTTGGTACCGGGGTTAAATACCTTAAGTGCTCGGCCAAGTTTGATGACCACTTTCAGCGGACCCCATTAGACAGATCTATGGCACATTGAATAAAGAGAAAAACGTCATTATCTTCCGTTTCTGTTCATTAACCCTCGCAAATAGTATCTGATTGACTTCAAACTTAGTAACAGGGTTCAATGCATTAAGGGTTCGGCCAAGTTTGATGAGCACCTTAATCGGACTCCATTTGACAGTCATTATCTGCAGTTTTCGCTTAATAACTCTAGCAAATATTAGATAAGGCTTTTTGTCTTTGAGTTTCAAGCTATACATTATGTCTCAACAGCACGATACTCACATGTTAAACCTAACCTCAATAATGTTTACATACAATATGTCCTAAAAGCGGGGGATACAAATTCCACGAATTTGCTTGTTTCTCTTTGTTCTCTCTCCTGTGGTGTCCCGCTGACATCCTTCCTCGTATGAGTGTCACACTAGCTGAGATTCTCTAGTGAAGAGTATATCATTAGATGTTATGGTCAGTCTCCACAGTTTCTGTTTTATCCCCCCCCCCCCCCCCCCCTTTTTTTTTTTTTCCCCCCCCCCCCCCCCGAATATTTTCCCTGTATTTCATATCCACTTTATTTCTGTTTGTTCTCTTTCCGGCTGTGTCCCCTGACATCCTTCCTCGTATGTCTAATGACGTAGAGAATATCATTAGTTGTGATGGTCAGTCTCCACAGTTTCTGTTTTATCCCCCCCCCCCCCCATTATTTTCCCTGTACTTCATATCCACTTTATTTCTGTTTGTTCTCTTTCCGGCTGTGTCCCCTGACATCGTTCCTCGTATGTGAGCAACAGATATGAATATTAATGAGTAACATCTCTCTAGAGGCAGCTCAAACGGAACAACGGATACTAGCCATCATCAGGTAATACAAAGTCGTTTCGCGCCATAAATAATACCTAGAATTCGATAAAACCGTTCAGTCATTAAAACCGATCAATTCATATGAAATATTCACGTTATATAATTATATATAAGCGTGAATATTTCCTATTAATTAGCCGATTTCATTGACAGACATTTTCAGTCTCCATTTATTGTACTGTTGACTAATTAACAGTTTTCGACAAAACATGAAACAGGGCATAACAACGGAATATTACTAATATTTTTGAGTGACATGCATTATTTTTCATTATTTATCTGCAGTTACACACAACAGCAGTAGTCGGTGATGACTTATTGATTGTGTAGAAATAGCATTTAAATTAAACTCGTAATAGATCCGCATCAGTCATGTAGAACAACGTTGTTACTAGTTTGGTATTATAGTTTTGTGCGTAAATTAAAACAATATTGGTTTTGTAAGCAAATCGAATGCAGATATGATATGATATTTCAATCAATTAATCATAAATTAATATTGCTATTGAGATGAACTTTAATTATTTTCTGTCTTTGAAATAATGCCAATTTCTAAAATTCGATATAGCTTCTAAGCCTTATTGATACAATGAAGTATACTTTTTTTAAATGAAATAATTTTGATATAGTATTTTACCAAATCCATATTGCATTGTTTTAGTCTATACTTTTAATCCCACATACTCGATGTTACACAAGAAGTAGATATTTCGAACGTACTAATATAGGAGACGTATGTATTTTTTTTCATTCTTTTTCTCTTTGTCCCTTGAGGGGTAAAATAATAAAAATGAAATAATAAACTTTTTGGATTTTGTAGTATTTTATTTCTCGCCATAATAAAGATGTTCATGACATTACAGAATCAAACTAGATTTCTGTTACAATTATTTTGATTAAAATTCTAGGAGGTTAAATTTTGTGATTTTTTTTTGTAAGTGCTGGTGTATCAATATACCAAATATCTAGAAAATAATGGATATTCTGAAAATCCTTTGTGCGATGCGAAGGTCGATGTCCCTCTGTTTCAAAAGTAGTTTAGACAGTTTCGATATCCAGCTTTTGGGCCGCTAGCACCACCGATGGGTCCTATAGAAGGACAAAACAGCTGTATTGTACCGTGTAATTCATGTTTGGCATATTCCGAGATACAAAGTGGTGAACTCAACATGTGGATTTCTCAAACCCAGAGGTTTGGCCACAGTTATCTCTTCTGAGCAGTTCCACGGTGTATGCTATATTCACTTTACAAATTATTTAATTTAAAAATAACCAGCACTCCTCTAAATTTATAAATTCGCCAATTACAAATTGTCTAAACTACAGGCTTTTTGGCCCCTAGCATCACCGATCAGTCTTAGAAGGACGAAACAGCTTTATGGTGCTGTGTAATTCATTTTTGGCATGTTATATCTATTTGGAGACTTAAAGGTGTAATAGCTTATGGTTGTGTTACTTTTAAACGTTTAATCTTGTATAATTATGCACATTAATGTGCCCGATTGTACTTTGATCTGACTTTGACCTACATGATAGAAGTTGTCGTTATAGCAAAATATACTTACCCTTGTGGAACACTTGGTCTTATTCTCCGTGTATCTATAGTTTCCATGTAAATCTTTACTTTGTTCATATATTGTCATATTCTTTATCGATTTTGAGTTCGCATAACGATTTTATTGTCGGTATCCGGTATTCTGTTGGCTTTTTAAATAACTCCCATCCACTACTAAAACTTCATAAAATATACTGTAATCATCAGGTCGGTAAAACAATCGATAACTGACAAAGTATTTAATTTAAATTTTAGATCCATACTGCCGCAACTCATTAATAGCGACACGTGCGGGAGTGAAAAACACATGCACTCAGAATATCCGTCAGCCTTGGAGGACAAGTTCAAACTCCTAACCACACGATTAGGCTCGCTTAAGGGACAGCTGGTTATAACGCACCTAACCACACGATTAGGCGCGCTTAAGGGACAGCTGGTTATAACGGACCTAACCGCACGATTAGGCGCGCTTGAGGGACAGGGTGTAACGAATTTACCCACACGATTAGGCGCGCTTGAGGGACAGGTTGATCTGTCAGACTTGGAGGACAAGATCAAGAATCAAACCACACGATTAGGTGCGCTTGTGGGACAGGTTGTAACGAATTTAACCACACGATTAGGCGCGCTTGAGGGGCAGGTTGTAACGAATTTAACCACACGATTAGGCGCGCTTGGGGGACAGGTTGATCTGTCAGCCTTGTAGGACAAGATCAAGAATCAAGCCACACGATTAGGCGCGCTTGAGGGACAGGCTGATCTGTCAGCCTTGTAGGACAAGATCAAGAATCAAACAACACGATTAGGCGCGCTTGAGGGACAGCTGGTTATCACGGACCCAACCACACGATTAGGCGCGCTTGAGGGACAGCTGGATATAACGGACCTAACCACACGGTTAGCCGCGCTTGAGGGACAGCTGGTTATAACGGCCCTAACCACACGATTAGGCGCGCTTGAGGGACAGCGGGGTAGAACGGACCTAACCACACGATTAGGCGCACTTGAGGGACAGCTGGTTATACCGGACCTAACCACACGATTAGGGGCGCTTGAGGGACAGGTTGATCTGTCAGACTTGGAGGACAAGATCAAGAATCAAACCACGCGATTAGGCGCGCTTGAGGGACAGGTTATAACGGATTTAACCACACGGTTAGGCGCGCTTGAGGGGCAGGTTGTAACGAATTTAACCACACGATTAGGCGCGCTTGGGGGACAGGTTGATCTGTCAGCCTTGTAGGACAAGATCAAGAATCAAACCACACGATTAGGCGCGCTTGAGGGACAGGTTGTAACGAATTTAACCACACGATTAGGCGCGCTTGAGGGACAGGTTGATCTGTCAGCCTTGGAGGACAAGATCAAGAATCAAACCACACGATTAGGCGCGCTTGAGGGACAGGTTATAACGGATTTAGCCACACGGTTAGGCGCGCTTGAGGGACAGGTTGATCTGTCAGCCTTGAAGGACAAGATCAAGAATCAAACCACACGATTAGGCGTGCTTGAGGGACAGGTTATAACGGATCTAACCACGCGATTAGGCGCGCTTGAGAGACAGGTTATAACGGATCTAACCACACGATTAGGCGCGCTTGAGGGACAGGTTGATCTGTCAGCCTTGAAGGACAAGATCAAGAATCAAAGCACACGATTAGGCGCGCTTGAGGGACAGGTTATAACGGACCTAACCACGCGATTAGGCGCGCTTGAGAGACAGGTTATACCGGATCTAACCACACGATTAGGCGCGCTTGAGGGACAGGTTATAACGGATCCAACCACACGATTAGGCGCGTTGGAGGAACAGGTTACAACGGATCTAACCACACGATTAGGCTCGCTTGAGGAACAGAATGATAAACAACAAATGGATAAATGCAAACTTTTGTTCGGTATGTAAAATTTACTATGTAGAATCATTTGTTTGATAATCTTTTGTATGTCCTCCTCTCAATTCATACATGTAAAAACAGTAGAAAATGTCGACAGTATGAATAATTCTATACAGAACTACTAAAGACAGCCATTATACTCTTATCATTACATATGTACATATAGATGTTCACAGCATCATGTTCAGACTTGTCACAGTAACATAGCGTATCTTACAGCTCACAGTGATACATCATACTTGTTTACTTAGTAAGATATACCACCAAGTTTAAAATAGCGAAATTTATGAAATAGGGTTATATAAAAACAAACTCTCCCTCAAACAGCTATTGATTGAATCACTATCAAAGTATATTTGTATAACAAAATCTATACATTATAGCTTCATTTTCAAAATCGTTAAAGTACAATAATGTGATGACAGTACATCAAATCTAAAATGTAATTCTACACAATATCTTTACTATGTATTCAAGATACATGTATATCATATCGGAATCCCGTCCCTCTGTCAAAAACGTGAAATATTTTTTTTTAATCAACAACAATTCCTGGCGTAACGATTCAGTGAAACTAGACCGGGGCCAATATTCATGAAACTGTCCCCGTGCTCAAACTGAGGTTTAGTGCTAACATCACATTTTCCCATGTTGTTTAAGAACTTTGGAGAGACTGGATGCAGAAAACTATTTCAACATTTTAATTTGACTTTTTTGGCAGTGTCACATGCTGTGAGTTATAATAAGTTGAGTCTGAGCAAGGAACCATGAGTAAGCATGAGAACGGATTTATGAATACGGGCTAGGGTCTCGAACCACGGACCACAGATTAATAAACTGTAGCTCTAACCGACTGAGCTACCTTGTCAACAGAAGTGTTCTGGTCCAGCTGTGCTACAGCCTTCCAAAACGAAATAAAAGGGACATTACAAAAGATACGAAAAAACAGAATGCAAAGGGACCCTTAAATAGACATTTGCCATTCATAGTTATATTACACTTGTAAAATAGCACCAGTCCCGATATCAAACTATGTTTCTTAAACTTCAAATCAGTTCCTCACGTAAAAATACTAATCCTCTTCAATCATCCAACAGAATATGAATCAAGACCGGCCAGCCTAAAATGGACAGATGTCCTGGTCACCTGCCCGACCACGTTGGTTTTCTCCAAGTATTCCGGTTTCCTTCCACATAAAAATACCTCGCGCACTAACATCTGAGCCAACAAGAGTGATTTATATAAGTTTAAATCACTTGTTTCATAACTGTTGTCATATCAATTTCATATTTATTGTTTGTATTGATAAACTGCAGGTTTGTACAATCTCACTATCTCTTTTGTCTATAATCCAAGTTTTACATTACTACGTGCAGACAAATCACTGCCCATTAAAAAATAATTCCTTGTGAACCTTTCCACCTCTTCATTACTTTAAGCATACACCATTGATACGTATGTATGCGACAGCTGACCATTGCCTCCATTCTCGAATTACAAGGATTCTGATCTCGATTCACGTATCTTCTCTGCACCCCGGGAACATACTGGGACATAGTTGAAGGAACACGGCTAGCTATTTGATTGATCTCAGGTACACAAACCTGACCAATCGCTAGACTGACAAACGTTCTTACAAGATTACAAAGGAGCTACATCAAACTTCAAAGTCTGTCGATTTTACCGTTACGCTTCCGCGCGATTCCTCGATCCTCATCAAAGACATAAAGCGAGTTTACGATGTCGTGACATGTTTGTATCTAGAGTGGAATTCGAAGCTTAATTGCCTCACAATGGCGATTCCGTCATGACATACTTCAGGGGTGCAGAGAACATGAGAAAGCATGACTCATGGGATTTCGAGAAAGTGTTTAGCCTTTTCCATTCCCTGTCAACAAAATCGACCTTTTATAAAGTACCTACTTGTTTTCTGTCATATTGATGTTAATGATGTTATAATTAAATGTATAATGCATTTTGAACTAACCAGAGAGTGGTCTTGTTTCCGGCTCTACTCGTTTTCAATTGACAGGGCAATGTTGTCTTTTTTTTATTATCAAAAGTGAAGGGCGTAAACCACCTTAATACATGCGTGTATTTCTCTCTAATTTGATGTTAAAATTATTTTGTCAGCAACATGATATTATATTGGAACATGCACAACTGTTTGGATATAATCGAGTTATCATTAGATATTTAAGTTTCTGATATTATACAGGTATATAACGTACAGTTTTCGAAATTTTCACTGAAAAAATACTCTTTGATCAAATACAATATTTAAATTATAATTTAAGGTAAAACGAAAATATATTAACGTGATTTTTTTGTAAAATAAATTGAATATCACTTATCTTAATTCAACTCTCTCATATAAAAGTGTCTGTGTGCTAAAATCCACGCGCAAAAGTCCTATATATCCAGAAAAAGTTAGTTCAGATTTTTTGAGTGTATTTAATTGATTTATGAAATCAAAAGACCGGTATAGTTTCTGTCATTAAAATCGTTTACCAAAGTTTCTTTGCCAAATTAATCGAGACTAAGTATAGGTTGAAGTTTGATTAAAATTACCTTTCCTATTTCCTAACCAACTATCATCGAAAGACAAAACGATACAAAGTGTGACCGATCACGTGACTGGTACGTCATTTCATCGGATACCTAGGATAATGTAGCAACATCATACACTATACGGGCAAGTAATTCGTTAACATGACAAAACCAGGGAGTCAGTGAGCCCAGACTAATTACGAACTCGGTGTAACTATCTTATATTGCTATAACTTACATTAATGTCGGATTATAAATGTTCTGAAGGAAAAGAAAAATTGGAACATTGAAAACTGTCTGTGTTTAGCTGTAAAATTGAAATGACATTGAAACGACAGTCTTTATACTGTGCTATTGCTGTACCTACAGTGTATATCAACAAAAAATGCGAGTCGATAAAACATCAATGCATAGACTTTTCCTGTTTTCAGAAAAAGTGGATCCCAGCGCGACTGTACATGTCTTTGAGGATCGATGCTATCTGTTCTTGACAGAACAGTTCTTGGCCTGGTCCAACGCTCAGGTAGTATACTTACTGTTCACAAGTTTATATTTACATTTCTACCGAGTTCCTAAATCAGAATTCACCATAAGAAATTGCGTTTATTGGGCTATGGACGTAATTGGATCAGCGTCCTTTAGAAGTTTTTCCATCCGCCTCGACAAACATGAGACAACCGTTAGAAGCAAACATTTTGGTGACGTGAGGCTATTCCAGGAATTTCGTTTGTAATAACGACACAGACTTTTCTATATCGAAAATATAAAGAATATGTTTGTTTATGGTCAATAATAACTAAAACTAAAGAATGTAAATAAAAGGAATGAACGGCATTTTTTCAATGTTCATGTCGGTTTGAACGCAAACCGGTTACATACATATTATCATGAAGCCCCAATATGATCTAAAGAAAGTGTTGTTAAAGCGAACTTTTATATTATAAATAAAAACAGATGAAAAAACATCGTCCGTTTTCAGAAAGTACAAACTAATGCTCTCAGACTTGGCCTATAGTTACAATTACATGTAATACCCTGTACAGCCTTCAATACTGCTTTGTTATTTTACTTTGTTAGTTTTGACAATTTCGTTTCCAAAAAGTGCTAGTTACTTAAATTTTAACTTCTCTAAATGTATACTGTTCAGTTCCTTTTAAAAATTATTTCCAAATTCTCAAATTTCGAAGTTACCCTGCGTCATAATTGTATACCGCCGATGCTGAGTATTTCCTATATGTTATCAAGCTGACGATCCCCNTTTATGCTTACGTCATTTTTCATGTAAGCATTCTGTTTGAACATATTTATTCAAGAATCCTGCACTTTTTATGTCAGTTTGTTCAGGCCTGTGTAGATTTGACGAGATTTAAAACATCTCAGAATTCTTGCTTTTATATGTTATGTTCGATTAAGGCACCATCACAGGTTGGTGTCAGTTTTCACTAAATCAAGATAGCCGCCAAAATTCGAATACATTTAAATTATGAACAGACATTAAACTTAACTCAGTTATTTAGGCAAACACTGATTTTGTTAACCATGATCATTTCTATTTTATTTGTTATACATTTTAATGGAATCATCAGGAGAGATGTCAGTTGGTGGGAGCGAACCTTGTATCCGTGATGAGCCAGGATATGCAAGACTTCGTCAACAGTGCTAAAGGTTAGGCTTGCATGACTCATTTCACCTCGTAGGGGTAGGGACACAATTAACCCTACAGGACAACACGGCCTGGCGGGGCCACATGTCGTCACTTTGTCTGTCAAATCTCGTCAAAGTTTCCTGTTTCTTTTGGACGGCAAGGATATTGTCAAACCGATACATGACAATATCCTTGCCGTCCCAAAAGAAACAGGAAACTTTTTTTTTATCTCCTCAAAAGGCGTGGTTCATTTCTTTATCTCCCCGGAAGGGCACGTGGAATTCATAGACCGCTGTTTATATATTTCTAACTTGTGAATAACATTCTAGCTTTCGGGATTAATATGGTTAGTTTCAGTATAAATCGTAAGTTCTGATTTCATCGACTAATTTTTTAATGAAATTGAATCTTATTCTAGCGTTTTTTTTACAGTATACCATGTAGTTGATATTTATTTCGTTTCTGGTGTTCCCAGAAAACAGATGACAACGATAAGAAATATTTTTTTTTTTCCAGTTGTATTGGAGCACACTGATAGTATACGTGATTCCGAAACAGACTGCCGAATAAATTGAAACATAACTTAACATTTCAGAAACCGAACGACACAAATTAACAAGTTACTTGCTACCATTAGCTCAAAACTTAGTGGCAGTGTTACCACGTGATCCTGCAGATTTTGCAAAGGGCCCGAGGGAAACGTTTAATTTTTGTGCAATTATTCCAATTGTTCATTATTCTGGAGAAAACGATACTTACATAATGATAGCTCTAATGAGCTAACTTTCTTTGTTCAAAACATTCCTGTTTAGTGTGTTATTTTCTGGTATAATACAAACACAAACGTTAACCTGTTAATATCAAAATCGGAAATATATTTTGTATCATATACTATTGTTTATAGTTGGACGACAGTTAAAAATCATATGAATATAGTATGAACGTCTTTATCACATCACATGACTATGATCATATTTAAGTAACGCATTAGTGAACTTGGTCATGTTCAGTATAATTTTAATAGTTTCAGGATATGGATGGTGGATAGGCGGCAAAAGGAGAACGACGGATAACAAGCTCGCTTGGATCGGGAATGGCCTTCTGCTCGATGACACCTATACCAATTGGTACCCAGGAGAGCCTGATAGTAGCGGCGATTGTGTCTATAATACTGTCAACGGATGGTTTGACTTTCGCTGTTCAGCTTACGGTGTATACATATGCGAACTTTGATTTATGACTGTGGATATATAGTGCCTAACACTTGTACATATACATTGAAACCTGTCTATACAAACTACCTGTCTATATAAACTACCTTTCTATACAAACTACCTGTCTATAAAGATCATTTGTCTCTATGATATACACTGTACTCAAAAATCCATGTAGACCGGTTTTCCGATGAACATTTATTCTAGAGATATCCTTTAAAGAATTCCCCTACCCTTGTACAATTGTTTGATAAAAATAGATTTTAAAATCTTTTAACATTAACACTTTTGTATTGACAAACATGATTGCTTTTCTTAGCCAGGATGTACAATTTTAAACCTGCAATAAAACATCTCAAAAAACTTTTGATTTTTCACTTTTGTTTTGTTTTTGTTGCCTTATCGTCGAAGCCTTTAATAAAACAAATATGGCTTTTTGTGATGGAAAATATTATGTGATATGAAGGTTAAACAAGAGACCCAAAGGGCCTGTATCGCTCACCTGGAAATGTTAGCAAAACTGAAGTTTAAATAGTCAAATATTGCTGATAAAATCCTTTAATCCCTACAGTAGAAGAAGGATTTAATGTTTTTACCTCTATTTCCCCTGTTTAGGTCCGCCCAGCTGCCCCCAGGGAGACACCATAACCGTTTATACAAAATTGAGTCCCCTTGGCCGAACAATGTTCCAAACTAAATTAGGATAAAACCCTTTAATCCCTTAGGTAGAAGAAGGATTTTAAAGGTTTTACCTCTATTTTCCCTATTCGGCCCCGCCCCTCTGCTCCCATGGGGTCCATAATCAGCATTAATACAAAATTGAGTCCACGTGGCCCAAGGATGCTGCAGAATAAATTAGGATAAAATCCTTCTTAAAGGTTATACCTCTTTTCCTCCTATTGTGCTCCGCCCCTCTGTCCCTCTGCCCCTAGGGGGACACAATAACCATTTGTACAAAATTGAGTCCCCTTGGCCCAAGGATGCTCCAGACTAAATTAGGATAAAATCCTTTAATCCTTACGGTAGAAGAAGGATTTTAAAGATATTGCCTCAATTTCCCCTTTTAAGGTCCGCCCAGCTGTCCCAAGGGGGGCCACACCAACCGTTTATACAAAATTGAGTCCCCTTGGTCCAAGGATGCTCCAGACTAAATTAGGATAAAATCCTTTAATCCTACGGTAGAAGAAGGATTTTAAAGGTTTTGCCTCAATTTCCTCTTTTTAGGTCCGCCCAGCTGCCCCCATGGCGTCCATAGTTAGCATTTATACAAAATTGAGTCCCCTTGGCCCAAGGATGCTGCAGACTTAATTCGGATAAAATCCTTTAATCCTTAAGGTAGAAGAAGGATTTTAAATGTTTTTACCTCTATTTCCCTTATTTAAGTCCGCCCAGCTGCCCCTAGGGGGACACAATAACCGTTTATACAATATTGAGTCCTCTTGGCCGAACGATGTTCCAAACTAAATTAGGATAAAATCCTTTAATTCCTACGGTAGAAGAAGGATTTTAAAGGTTTTTGCCTCTATTTCCCCTGTTTAGCTCCGCCCAGCTGCCTCAAGGGGGCCACACCCACCCTTTATACAAAATTGAGCCCCCTTGGCATAAGGATGCTCCAGACTAAATTAGGATAAAATCATTTAATCCCTACAGTAGTAGAAGGTTTTTTAATGTTTTGCCTCAATTTCCTCTTTTTAGGTCCGCCCATGGCATCCATCATTTACATTTATACAAAATTGAGTCCCCTTGGCCAAAGATGGCTTCAGACTAAATTCGGATAAAATCCTTTAATTCTTACGGTAGAAGAAGGATTTTAAATGTTTTTACCTCTATTTTCCCTATTAAGGTCCGCCCAGCTGCCCCTAGGGGTACACAATAACCGTTTATACAAAATTGAGTCTCCTTGGCCGAACGATGTTCCAAACTAAATTAGGATAAAATCCTTTAATCCCTATGGTAGAAGATGGATTTTAAAGGTTTTAACTCTATTTCCCCTATTTAGGTCCGCCCCTCTGACCCCATGGGGTCCATAATTAGCATTTATACAAAATTGAGTCCCCTTGGCCGAAGGATGTTACAGACTAAATTAGGATAAAACCCTTTAATCCCTTAGGTAGAAGAAGGATTTTAAAGATTTTGCCTCAATTTCCCCTTTTTAGGTCCGCCCAGCTGCCCCTAGGGGGACACAATAACCGTTTATACAAAATTGAGTCCCCTTGGCCGAACGATGTTACAAACTAAATTAGGATAAAATCCTTTAATCCGTACGGTAGAAGATGGATTTTAAAGGTTTTAACTCTATTTCCCCTATTTAGGTCCGCCCCTCTGCCCCATGGGGTTCATAATTAGCATTTATACAAAATTGGGTCCCCTTGGCCCAAGGATGCTGCAGACTAAATTAGGATAAAATCCTTTAAACCCTTACGGTAGAAGAAGGATTTTAAATGTTTTTACCTCTATTTTCCACTATTCGGCCCGCCCCTCTGCCCCCAGTCGGACCACACCCACCGTTTATACAAAATCGAGTCCCCTTGGCCCAAGGATACTCCAGACTGAATTAGGATAAAATCCTTTATTCTCTACGGTAGTAGAAGGATTTTTAAGGTTTTGCCTCAATTTCCTCTTTTTAGGTCCGCCCATGGCATCCATAATTTGCATTTATACAAAATTGGGTTCCCCTTGGCCAAAGGATGCTGCAGACTGAATAAGGATAAAATCCTTTAATTCTTACGGTAGAAGAAGGATTTTTTTATGTTTTTACCTCTATTTTCCACTATTCGGCCCGCCCCTCTGCCCCGAGGGGGCCACAACCACCGCTTACAAAAAATTGAGTCCCCTTGGTCCAAGGATGCTCCACACTAAATTAGGATAAAATCATTTAATCCCTGCGGTAGAAGATGGTTTTTAAAGATTTGACTTCTATTTTCCCTATCCGGCCCCGCCCCTCAGCCCCCATGGGGTCCATAATCAGCATTAATACAGAATTGAGTCTCCTTGGCCGAACGATGTTCCAAACTAAATTAGGATAAAATCATTTAATCCCTGCGGTAGAAGATGGTTTTTAAAGATTTGACTTTTTTTTTCCCTATACGGCCCCGCCCCTCAGCCCCCATGGGGTCCATAATTAGCATTTATACAAAATTGAGTCTCCTTGGCCGAACGATGTTACAAACTAAATTATGATAAAATCCTTTAATTCCTACGGTAGAAGAAGGATTTTAAAGGATTTACCCCTATTTCCTCTGTTTAGCTCCGCCCAGTTGCCCCAAGGGGGCCACACAAACAGTTTATACAAAATCGAGTCCCCTTGGCCCAAGGATGTTGCAGAATAAATTAGGATAAAATCCTTTATTCTCTACGGTAGTAGAAGGATTTTTAAGGTTTTGCCTCAATTTCCCCTTTTTAGGTCCGCCCATGGCATCCATAATTTGCATTTATACAAAATCGAGTCCCCTTGGCCCAAGGATGCTCCAGACTAAATTAGGATAAAGTCCTTTAATCCCTAAGGTAGAAGATGGATTTTTAAGATTTGACTGCTATTTTCCCTATACGGCCCCGCCCCTCAGCCCCTATGGGGTCCATAATCAGCATTAATACAGAATTGAGTCTCCTTGGCCGAAGGATGTTACAAACTAAATTAGGATACAACCCTTTAATCTCTTAGGTAGAAGAAGGATTTTAAAGATATTGCCTCCATTTCCCCTTTTAAGGTCCGCCCAGCTGAACCTAGGGGGACACAATAACAATAACCGTTTATACAATATTGAGTCCTCTTGGCCGAACGATGTACCAAACTAAATTAGGAAAAAATCATTTAATCCCTGCGGTAGAAGATGGTTTTTAAAGATTTGACTTCTATTTTCCCTCTAGGGGGACACAATAACAATAACCGTTTATACAAAATGGAGTCCCCTTGGCCGAAGGATGCTGCAGACTGAATAAGGATAAAATCCTTCAATCCTTACGGTAGAAGAAGGATTTTAAATATTTTTACTTCTCCTTGGCCGAACGATGTACCAAACTAAATTAGGATAAAGTCCTTTAATCCCTAAGGTAGAAGATGGATTTTAAAGATTTGACTTCTATTTTCCCTCTAGGGGGACACAATAACCGTTTATACAATATTGAGTCCTCTTGGCCGAACGATGTACCAAACTAAATTAGGAAAAAATCATTTAATCCCTACGGTAGGAGATGGATTTTTAAGATTTGACTTCTATTTTCCCTATCCGGCCCCGCCCCTCAGCCCCTATGGGGTCCATATTCAGCATTTATACAAAATTCGGTTCCCCTTGGCCAAAGATGGCCTCAGACTCAATTCGGATAAAATCCTTTAAACCCTTACGGTAGAAGAAGGATTTTTTTATGTTTTTACCTCTATTTTCCACTATTCGGCCCGCCCCTCTGCCCCATGGGGTTCATAATTAGCATTTATACAAAATCGAGTCCCCTTGGCCCAAGGATACTCCAGACTGAATTAAGATAAAATCCTTTATTCCCTACATTAGAAGAAGGATTTTAAATATTTTTACTTCTAATTCCCGTATTGGGCCCCGCCCCTCTGCCCCGAGGGGGCCACCCCCACCGCTTACAAAAAATTGAGTCCCCTTGGCCCAAGGATACTCCAGCCTGAATTAGGATAAAATCCTTTATTCCGTACATTAGAAGAAGGATTTTAAATATTATTTCCCCTATTTAGGTCCGCCCCTCTGCCCCGAGGGGGCCTCACCCACCGCTTACAAAAAATTGAGGTCCCTTGGCCTAAGGATGAGACTGAATTAGGATAAAATCCTTTATTCCGTACATTAGAAGAAGGAGTTAAAATATTTTTACTTCTAATCCCCGTATTGGGCCCCACCCCTCTGCCCCGAGGGGGCCACACCCACCGCTTACAAAAAATTGAGTTCCCTTGGCCTAAGGATGCTCCAGACAAAATTTAGTCAAAATCTACTAGGGTGTTTAGGACAAGTAGCTTTTTTAGGAAAAGTTGACCGACGACTGACGACGGACGCTGCTGTATGGCATGAGCTCATCAAGGTGAGCTAAAAATGATATGATGACAGTAGTCTATACAGAATACCTACATTTTACAACCCATGTCTTATACGCACATGTCTCTAACATCACACTATATTACCTTCACACGAGGAGAGTTCCAAATACGCATAATACGCATATTAAGGTTGATTCGCATGACCATATGTACAGATCAAGGGCCTGTTTGTTTATGCGCAACAACCGTTTTTTCTGTTTTTAAATGTGACATTTTTGGGGTATAAATCCTGGCGGACCTGCAAATGTTTATGCAGGCCTCGCAAGGCTTTGTCAAGGCTCGCCTGAAAGCAGCATCAGATAA